TTCTTTATAGCAAATAAGGATTTGATATAATTGTATTTATTTTTTACTTTATTTTTTGTTTTATATCATTTCAGCGTTTATAAAAGGATATTGATTATGATTTGTGTAAAAAACAATTAGTTTTATAAAAGAGTTTTATCTATAAAATATTTTAGACATACGAGAATAATTACTTGAATTTATAAAAAGTAAAACTATTATAAAAAGTTAACTATTATATAATATATCTGATTAGAAATTAAGTTAATAAATAATGATGTGTCAATTTTTTTTTAATAATAGCATAAATCAACCTATGATCTAACAAAAGTACAGTTAAAAAATTCGATTCTGTTTAAAAGTCATATCTTTTACAAAAGTACCTTTTACACCAACTTGTTTTATTAGTTTCGTTGATGCTTCTTTAAGAGGGTATTTTAGTATTTCCATAATGATTTAAATCAAGTTTAGGAGATTAAACAATAGCAAATTAGCAATCCCGCCACCGTCAACGGCACGCCTCCACCCTACGTTATTTTTCTTTCCATTTCATGATTAACTAAACTTTATAACCTTTTTACATTATAATATAGTATCAACTTTTTAAATTGAAGACACCATATATTCTATTTTTTACATATATTTATAGTAAATTGAAGACACCATATATTCTATTTTTTACATATATTTATAGTAGTCACCTATAATAATAGCATATTTAATTAACTCGATTCACTAAAAGTTAAATATCACAATTAAATATGTATAATCGAAACAATTTTCTTATAATTACAATTTAATAGTCTTAAGAGATTTAAAATACAAAATGGACCCCAATGATTGGCATCAACAACATTCCAATTCCATCAAGAAGTTATTTAACCTCATCCAATAATTCATATATCACGTTACATCATCCTTATTTGTCTATAATTATTTGTTCTTACTCATTTTGGTTATTTCTTAATAAATCGATTCATATACCTACAAGACTTATAATATATTTTTAACTTATGATTTAATAAAGATAGATTAACAAAAATAACGTAATTTCTTAATGGTTTAACAAAAAAATAGCCAAAAATTATTGTTTATACAAAATTAGTCAACGAAACCATAGATGAGGCAAACACGTCTGCATTTTCATCTTCTTTACGGAATCGATATCTCACCAGCGATTTCATGTTATCTATAAAAATATTATTTTGTCAATTTTTGAAGACATAGCTTATGGTCATCTGCAGTTTCCTCTCAAGTTCCACTTGTTTAACTTGTGGTTTTATTCATTTATTTTATTTATTTTTAATTATGGACTCATCTGAGGTTTCATGAGCTCATCGATTTCCTTGCATAGCATTAAGAACAAAATCGTAGATGTACAAGTCGTCGACGCAATGACATGTAATAGAGAGTTGTAATACCGAAGATGACCATGGCCTTATCTGCGATTTTGTTCATTTTTTTCGATCTCCAACAAAAAAATGTAACACAACCCTATTACAATCGTCCAATATAATCAAAACAAACACAGAAAGCTATAGATACAAATTGTTAATCAGAACTTCATTAGAAAGTTTCCTAGCTTGTGAATGTGAAAATTAGATTGAATTTTTTTTTAACTTTAAATATAGTGGGTGGCTAATTGCCTCGAAGCTATTTCTGAACAAACCCTAAATTTTGGCTATTTTTGACTAAATCATTAAAAATTAGGGCATTTAATTTAATAAAAGTTAATATCGATACAATCTGATCAAAACGATAGATTGCGTAATTAAAATCAGTTCGATTGGAAGTCAAAAGGCGCAGGCACAGGAATTAGTTGGACCTTGAGCAATTAAAGCGAAATGAGCAAATTTACTCACTGCAACTGAAACGGCACCGTTAGCTGGGGAACTTTTAAGTATTTTTATTATATTAAAAACAATTAATTACAAAAATGCTATAGGTTCTGGTGGAACTCTGTAAAAACAAAAATAAAAATCTAAATAAATACTATACGCTAAAAAGGTTGTACCTTTCCACACTCGCTGTATACCGAAGCCTCTATAGAATACGAACAAATATGATTCGTAACATCAATATCTATATTGTTATTTCCACGCCGTACAACTGTATTATTTGCTATTGACACTCCACTGAGTGAACTCGCCTCCGGTATTGCCTCGGCCGAGGCAACCAGGTGAATGCTTTTCTGTAGAAACTCGTTTGTGGCGAGTCGACTCAAAAGCAATGACTCGGTAATAGAAGTTTTCTTCTTGTTGTGCAGCTGCTGTGTTGTTGCTCTGACGATCTCCGTCAGCATTGCGGCGGAGAAACGTCGGACGCCCCGTGCTCCACCCATTATGACGGCCGGATTGATGGTTTTCTCGTGGGCTTTGTCGGAGATTTTGTGGTTGTGTTTGGTGGGTGTTGGAGTTGGGGTTGATGACAAGTAAACTGATTCGGGGGTCCGGTTCCTGACTCGGACGAGTGGGTCTCCGAAAAGTAAAACCTCCTTGACGTCAACTAACATCACGTGCTTGAAGTTCCGACGAAGGCGCCCTAGGATCATGGGGTACGACGCCCACCTTCTTAGACTCATCGGGACGTGATCGAGAAACCCGGATAACGAGTTTTCCGGGTCGAGCTCACCGACACCAAAACCCACCACTGCTCCATAACTCATTCGAGTCAACTCAGTCCCACCACCATTGCTGGAATTCAAATTAGAATTGCTCTTGATTTTCCGACCCCAGATTGGTTCTCCTTTTTCCGAATCCTTCTTCCCGGATTTCACGAACTGGGTCACGTCGAAACTCGCCGGAAAATCCGATAAGTTGCTCCCATTATTCAATTCTGCTTTATACCGACGAATCAGTTTCAGAAACAACTTATTTTCTTCTCGAATAACACTATCTGAAGAATCCGGTGTGGTAACTGAAGGGAAGATGAAGAGAAGGTCTGATTTCGTGTGCAAACCAGACCTGTGAAATGCTCGTAAGAAAGTTTTGAGTTCTGTGAATGTCACAGACTCCGTAACGTGACAGAGAACGAGGTCATTCATGTGACTGGTACCTCGTGAATAGAGAGTACCTAGTCTTTGTAAAGCGTGTGAATGAGAGGTAGGATTTTTTGAAGGGTGGGTTTGGGAGAGATGCCGGCGATAGTGATGAGAGGATCTGATGAGGTTGTTATTGGGTTCAAAAGTGGAGAGGGTGAAGAGGAGGAGAGTGAGGAAGATGAGGAGAGCACAAATGGAGATGGTGGATTGAGCTTTGGCGAGGATATGAGTGGAATTTGTGCGTTTGAGGAGGGCGTTAATGGTGGGAGATTTGAATGGTGATGAAGAATTGAAATCCTGATGTTGATGATGATCATGGTGTTCTTGAGGGAAGAACACCAAGAAGAAGCCCATTCCCCAACCTTCACCGGCACCACCAGCGGCAGGAGGAAGACCGCTGCCGCCGAAACTAGCTCTCTTGGTGAGCTTGGCCGTGAATCCCATTGTAGATTGTGGGATTTGTAAGAGTTGGTGTTAACTTAGAAAGGGATTGCTTTTGCAAACACCCTGTGCATATGTGTTTGTGTTTAACTTGTCTATTTCTGTCTCCCTTTCTCTGTCACTCTCTTAAATGCACGAGTAGACAAAAACAAAGTGATACCCGTGGCAAAAATGTCTGATTTATTTGTGGTCTAAAGTTGTAAAAATACAAATAGTCAATCAAAAAAAAAAAAAATTAAAACGTTTTAAAGTAAATAACATTAATTTTGAATACAATTTATGATAAAAAAAAATTATTAAAAAACAGATAAATTTACCAACACATAACATTTACTTAAATTAAATAAAATATAAAAGATTAATCATTGCAAAAGTTGAAGGACTAAAAAAAAATGCAATTTATGATAATTTTTAATTATGTTTACAAAATTAACTTACAGCTAAAAGTTATATTATAATTTTTATTAGTATAGAAGCATTTGTTAAACTAAGGGGTGTTTGGCTTGTCTTTTTTATAGGCAAAAGTACTTCTTGAAAAAGTTACAAAAAGTCAAGTTTTCCTAACTTTTCCAAAAAATCAGTTTTCCTTCTATCTAAAATCCAAAAAGTAACTTTTAAAATGTTTTTACCAAACATCTTTTAGCCTTTATCTTTTCCAAAAGGAACTTTTGTCTCTCAAAAAGACAAGTCAAACACCCCCTAAATGTAAGATTAAAAAACTACATTTAAATAGTTTTGGATTATAAGTATTTTCTATTTAAAATAAAAACTTTAAGTTTATACTTACAATAATGGTTTTTATTAATTATTTTTCTTTAAACCAAAAAATTAGAAAAAAAATTAAAGGTTTTAAAAACTTCGTATTGAACACAGAATATATATATATATATATATATATATATATATATATATATATATATATATATATATATATATAAAAGAACTAATAATGATTCATGTTAATTTTCTAGAATGTTTCTTTTATACGTGACACTTTCTAAAATATCTATCATTTTTTTCCTGTAACAAATCAACTTTTATTCAAAATTCGAAAATAAAAAATTTTATCCTAATAACAATTAATCAATTACCAATTCACGGTTTGTTTTTTTTTTTTTTTT